CATCGTAGTTGCTCTTTTTTGTACTTTTACAAAGTCTCAACATCTCCTCATATCCAGTTCAGCACTTCACCTCTGTACATCAAGCTGGCTCTCAAGAGTTGTAAATCACACAGAGACAGTGGTGAAATCCAATTTTTTTACTACCGGTTCTGTGGGCGTGGCTTTGTGGGCGTGGTGTGGCTTCGTGGGCATGGCTTCATGAGCGTGGCATGGGAAGGATACTGCAAAATCTTCATTCGCACCCCACTCTGGGGCCAGCCAGAGGTGGTATTTGCCAGTTCTCTGAACTACTCAAAATTTCCGCTACCAGTTCTCCAGAACCTGTCAGAACTTGCTGGATTTCACCCCTGCACAGAAGGCTTTTGAGCAGATACAGCTTTATGCTCTATCAAAGGTGTCGTATCAAGTTTTCTCCTTCTTTATGTTAGATGGCTGTGGGGCCAGTTCATAGTGGCAAGAGAGGGGAAGCACGTCAGGAATCCCACTACTTTTGCCTCTTAAGTGATTTCAGCTGTATAAGCAAAAGAATCCTTGGCATTTTCCCAGATATATCTGATAAAATGCAAATGAAGTGGATGGGGAACGCTCAGCAAATATAAGCACATTTTCTGCTCATACATTTTAAATCTCACGAAGGACTGTAGGTAGCCCTCGATTTACAACTGCAATTGAGCCCACAATTTATGTTGGCTAAGTGAGAAATCTGTTAAATGAGATTTGCCCCTTTTTAGAGCTTTTCTTGCCACATTTTTTTGCTGAATCACCGCAGTTGTTAAATTAGTAACATGGATGTTAAGTGAATCTGGTTTCCACATTAAGTTTGCTGGTCAGAAGGTTGCAAAAGGGATCACATGACCCAGGGGCACTACAACCGTCATAAATGTGAGTCAGTTGTCAAGTATTTGAATATAAATCATGTGACCATGGGGGAATGCTGCAATGGTCATAAGTGTGAAAAATGGTCATAAATGGCACTTTTTCAGTGCCATTGTAATTTTGAATGGTCACTAAATGAACTGTTGTAAGTTGAGGACTACCTGTACTGAAAAAGGCCCCTGGATGAATATTATTGTATCTGATTAGAGTCAGGTATCTCCTTTTGTCTACTTTAAGAGAAAAAAGAATCTTGTTCAGTTTCTTGATTTAATTTACAAGGACATTGCTTTAAATCAAAGCTTCCCAAGTTTTTTCCTTTCATACTCAAAATTGCTATCAAAAGAGTCCTGTTTACCCAATATGGGCAAAACACTTTATGTCAGGGTGGATAAAAATCAATGATTTTTTTAAAAAAATAAAAAAAAATCAGATTTTTTGTATTTAAATCAAATTTTTTTGATTTAAATCGGATTTTTTTGATTTTTATCGAATTTATTTTAATAAAAAACTTTTGGGGTAAAAATCTATCGTAAGATAGTTTTCTATTTAAGATACATAAATAATTTAGTTTATTCAGCATGAAATGGAGCTTAGTTATGTAGCATGAGGCTGTATATTCTGCAACACTGGGACTATCGGTGAGTCAACAGCGGGTCAAAGGAGTAGCAGAGATGACAGTTGCTCTTTAAAAAATATGATTTAAATCGAGTTGATTTAAATCAAGTCTTTTTACTAGTGATTTAAATCATGATTTAAATTGTGATTTAAATCAACTCGATTTAAATCAAATCCACCCTGCTTTATGTCACTTTCAATGTCCCTATTGTGATTGGATAATAGGTTAATGTGTCATTACCAAAAGAAAAAAAAATCATTTTTACCCAATATAAATAATTTATCCAGGTTTGGGAAGCATTACTTTATAATGCTAAGGCAGGAATTTTTTTAAAAAATACACCAATTTGCTAAGCAAGAAATAATGGTTTCCCATAATGGGTAAATTCCAGGGTTTTAACGCTGTGGGAATACACAATAATAATGAACAGATCAATATTCAGATATAAGATTGGTTGAGAGCTTTGGGCAAGAAACAATTATTGACTCAGCCTTCCATCCTTCCGAGGTACGTAAAACGAGGACCCAGATTGTTGGGGGCAATAGGCTGACTCTGTAAAACTGCTTAGAGAGGTCTGTAAAGCCCTGTGAAGTGGTATGTACTGTAAGCCTGAGTGCTATTGCTATCTAAGGATACAAATGTGAAATCTGTTTTTATGAAAATATTGTAATTTTGACCTTTTAAAATTTATTTTGGCTTGCAAATTATAGTAAGAAAGCCATTTTTGACATTTGTGCTTTGGATATCGATATTATTTTGTTCCAAGTTTAAATGCCATAGATTGGTGTTTTTCAAACTTGGCGATGTGTGGATCTCAGCTCCCAGAATTCTCCAGCTAGCCTCCAGTTGAGTTGAAGTTTACACATTTTAAAGTTGGTAAGTTTGAAAAATACTGCTATAATACAACCTATCTTACTTAAGATTGGCATGACATCTGTAGGTTTGTCAAGCAATAACAGAATATTCCATGTATTGTTATTTTGCATGTCCTTAATCAAAAGATTTAAATTATTAATTAAATTTAGTAACAAATTTAATTAATAATTTATAAGTAATAAGTAACACAATCAGAGTTGCATTTCAGAATTCCGCATTTATATTTCCCTTTTAACATGAAAAAGTACAAAATAGAATCAAAGACTTAGGCTGGGTTTGGTTTGGTGATTATACAGAACTACATCTTGCAGGCTTTTTCATTTTTGTCTCTGTTTAGACGGCGCACCTGGACAGTTTCTTTTAATGCATCGTTCTCCTGAAAAAAAATCAGGGCATTAGAATTTCTTTGTCTTTTTGAAATATGTGCTCCCCCTGTCTTCTTTTTGAATGCTTGCTTCCTCTCCCCCCTACACCCCATGTAAAAAGTCAGGAGAAAACCTGCAGAACAACTTTGGGAGATTTCTTAGTGGGCTTTGTTCCACAGATAGGCTCACAAATTGTTAGGGAGCTTAAACCTTTGTAGAGGAGGGGTATTCTACATCTACATAGAATCTATACTGGAGCCCCTTTGATTTCCAACCAGCCTTGCTTTTTATTTTTTTTACCTGCAGTCATTGCTCTGTTGTCAAAGCATATCCATGGTGCCTTTAATGAATTGAAAGACAATACCAATTCATCGGTGAATTGGTATTTTAATTGCAAAAACACAGAGAGGAATTTGTAAAACTTTGCATGGAGATTTGTGTGTGTGTCTGGGGGTGTGGGGGTGGGTCCGGGGGTGCCTTTATTTATTTATTAAATTTATATGCTGCTCATCTTGTGATTTGACGCCTTGGAGTAAGTTTTTTTTTTCTCCTGGAAATTGCATAGAGTAGTCCTTAAAGTTTTATTGGCAAAGTTTTTCAAAAGTAGTTTGCCATTGCCATTGCTTCCCTTGGCCTGAGAGAGGGTGTCTGGCCCAAGGTCATCCAGCTGATTTCATGCCTAAGGCAAGACTTCATGCCTAAGGAGTTCTCATGGTCTCCCAGTTTGTACTCATCCACTTAATCCAACTGGTCCTCATTTTTGTCCGGGTTACTCCTTGTACTCATAGTGAAAAGAATGGTACTATAATTTCAGAACAAGCATGAGTTCACATGTGTTTTTAAGTCCCCTTTTTGTTTAAGGCTGGCTCAGCTGCCGAAGAGTATAAAATAAAACGGCCGTACGTTCATTCAGAACTGTACAGCTGCATACCAACTGCTCCTGTGGTCAATGGAAAGGAAGTAGGGACAAGCATGAATGGCCTACAAAGGCCCTTCCCTCACTTCCAGTCAAAAGAAAGGATGGAGAGAACTGTTTTTCTTCCTAAAACACAAACAGAATTGAATGACATGCAGAATTTGTAATTCTCTCCAAATTAGATGGGAATAAACTTCACTATCCTCTGTGGGAGTTCCGAATAGCACAGGAGACTGTGCCATTAGTATATGGGTTATTCTACATTCTGATTGAAAAGTAGACTACTGAAAAGAGTATGTGTACAGTAGTGGCCAAAATTGTGGAAACCTTTTGGGAAAAGTGTATTTTCTAAAACTAGCTACCGTGTTTCCCTGAAAATAAGACCATGTCTTATATTTTTTTGAACCCTGAAATAAGCACTTGGGCTTATTGCCATGCGCTCAAAAGCCTAATTGGGTTTATTATCAGGGGGTGTCTTATTTTGGGGGAAACAGGGTAATAACACCACTTTTTTTGGGAGTAGTACCATAAAATTATATATTATATCAATGGAAAGATAATTTAATCAAGAATGTAATGCAATAACTTTTATGAAGGATTTGCTATTAGAATAACAGTTATAGTATAAAGAAGAAAAGTGAAACACGTAGAAAAAATGAGATATACAAAAATTATCACATCAGTTAATACTTAGTTGGGTAACCTTTAGCATGAATTATGGCCTTACAACGTCTTCCCATGAAGTGAACCAAGTCTTTTAGTTCTGCAGCTGTTATAATGTGAAACCAAGATTGAATGATTGCTTTTATTAACTGGGTTTTATTGCTGGGTCACTTCCGACTAACAAGTTTCTTTAGACGGCTCCATAGATTTTCAATTGGGTTAAGGTCTGCGCTATTCCCAGGCCATTCTAGCAGTGGAATCAGTGGTGGGTTCCTCCCGGTTCGGTCCGGTTTGGCCGAGCCGGTAGCGGTGACGACATGACGTCACCGAACCAGTTCTCCCCCACAATTTACAATTTCCACTACTGTACAACGATAGTCAATGATCAATAGCTCAATTGTACATCAAGTTTTCAGAAGAAAATAAAAATTTATGTGAGGATTTCTCTTCAGGGCAAGTGGCAAGCCCTAAGTGTGTGAAGTCCAAGCACATTCATACCTCAGGAAGATTAATTTTACATTATTTCCTTCTTTTCTGGAAGTCATGGGAGCTAGATAATTCAGCAGAGAATTTGTAGTTCTGCCCTCAGTGTATAGGTGAATGTTCTTGTCAGTTACAGCTGTAACAAATCTATGTGTTTAAATAATGCTTGCAGAAGAATAAAGCACCATGGTTTCTTTTTTCTTAGGTATCATCCTTGGCTTTTCTCTCCGATCCTATCACTTCAGCTACCGAGAAGTGAAATATTTTTCCTTCCCTGGCGAACTGTTAATGAGAATGCTGCAAATGTTGGTTTTGCCTCTCATTGTATCCAGCTTAGTAACAGGTACTGGTGTAAATTATTTTCTAATTTCTTTTTCTGTTTTACTATTGTCATTCAAGTTTAACATTCCTCTTTGTGTGTATATATGTATTCTTTAAAAAACAGTATCTAAGTATATACCCTAGGCCCGTCAAAGAATCTAGAATGTGATGTTGTTACATATCAATTCATGGTAGTGATTATTAGGTCAAAAATAAGCTCTTTTAATAAAAAGAGAAGAGCTCTGTGGGAGAATATTTGCTTTCATAAAGAAGCTGAAAGATTCAGTTTCCAACAACTTCAGTTAAAAACTAAGATAAAGCATTTATTAATTGATTACAATTGTAAGGTGAATGACTACAGGTAGTCCTTTGTTGTGGTAAGTCATAAACCATGGTTGTTAAGCCAGGTACCCACCTTGTTCAATGACTGCAATCCTGACACTCCCAGTTGCAGTCATTAAGTGACTGTGCAGGTCATTAAGCAGATAATGGGGTACATCAGGCTACGAGAGGACTGGCGCAGGGCAATACTCTATTTTAAGTCCAGGCTTATACTGCAGCACATACCTTGCTTGCTTGCTTGTTTGTTTATTATTTGCTTGCTTGCTTACTCACTCACTTACTTACTTGACCTCTATGCCACCCATCTCGCCAGAGGCAGCTCTAGGCAGCTTACAGACATTCAATTAAAACTCACTTCAGAACAATAAAACAATAAATAAGTATCATGCATTTAAATACAGACCTTCTGCTGGGCCTCCCAGGACCTCCCGTGTAGCCGCCCTCTGTACAGCTTCCCGCCCTGCCAGATCGCACAGTCTTGGGCCTGCTTTTTGACCTGTTAGGTCCCACAGCCTTGGGCCTACTTCCCGCACTGTCAGGTCTCACACAGGCTTGGGCCTCCTCCTACCTGCCCTGTCACATTTTGTTCCTCTTACTTCTTCCAAAGATCATCTTTCTGAAAAATTGCCCAGCCCATGTGATCCCCAGCCCAGACCTCCTACAGAGGCCACTTTGCACCATTCTAGGGGTAGCCACCATACTCTGAATCTCTCAGGTAAGCATGATTTCCCCAACATCACAGAAAGAGTTTCCTTCTCTAACGACTGCTCTAACTAGGATAATTAGTTATCTCCTGCATATTACTCTTGAGTTACAACTTTTTTTTTAAAATAAAGGAATTCCCTACAATATTGCAACCAAAATGCATATAAAACTAAAGCTGTAGCAGATTCCCTCGCAGAATACTTGCAGAAAACCCTCAGTAATTGGAAGTTGGTCTCAGGGTCCTGTTTTATAGGGAAAGATGTTTATTAATATTATTGGTCACCTTTTATCAAGGGACCGCCAAGGCAGGGGTGAAATCCAGCAGGTTCTGGAGAACCGGTAGCAGAAATTTTGAGCAGTTTGGAGAACCGATAGCAGAAATTTTGAGTAGTTCGGAGAATCGGCAAATACCACCCCTGGCTGGCCCCAGAGTGAGGTGGGAATGGAGATTTTGCAATATCCTTCTCCCAGGAGTGGGGAGGGAATGGGGATTTTGCAGTATCCTTCTCCTGGGGTGGGAATGGAGATTTTGTAGTATCCTTCCCCTGCCACCCCCACCAAGCCACTTCTACCAAGCCAAGCCAAGCCCACCAAGCCACGCCCAAAGAATCAGTAGTAAAAAAATTTGGATTTCACCACTGCCTCAAGGTAACTTGGAATTATTTGAAAGCAGCTGGTAATGTATGGATTTCCCACTGCTCCCTTCCACAAACACAGATGGGTAACTCAGGCACATTTCAGTTCCGAAAAACACTGGCGTGCGAGCTAAGAAGGAGAGAGTATAACTGCCAGTAAAACATTGGAGATTTTTATAGAGTAGGAAAGAAAAAAAAACAAATGAAAGGGAAGATTACTTTTAAAGTAATAATAATAATAATATTGTTGGATTTTGCGAGCCCATTAGATGAAAAGATTCTAATGCTGTTTTAAGACTGTGCATGTTTTCTGTACAAGCCACAATGTTCAGGTAGCCATTTTTTTTTTTTTTTTTACCATTTTTAATTCTTAGGAAGGGTGGGTACAATCCTCACCTCCATGCTTTATTATTTAAGAGGAGAAAGAGATATGTAGCATGGCTAAAACAGTCTCCGGCAGAATTTGAAAATAATTAGTTTTTTTAAAAAGTTATTAAAATTACAGATATAAAATAAAGTGGTAAAAGCTGAATCTGTTTTGTGTAACTTATAATTATCCTAGTTAAAGCAACTGCTGGAGAAAGAAGGAAGCTCTTTCTTGGATATTGGAAAAATAGTGTTTACCCTAGATCAGGGTCAGCAACCTGCGGCTCCAGAGCTGCATGCGGTTCTTTAGGCCCTCTGCTGTGGCTCCCTGTCAGGTGATTCCCCCCCCTGGCTGGCCCTCCCCTCCCAGTCCCTCCTCACCTGGCCTGAGAAGGTAAGGGCGATGGCGGGGGGTGGAGAAGCTGCCAGAGCAGAGACAGAGAGATACAGAGAGAGGGGGAGAGAGAGAGACATAGAGAGATACAGAGAGAGAGGGAGGGGGGAGGGAGGGAGGGAGGGAGGGGAGAGAGAGATGTCAAAAGGATTTTGTGGTTCCCAATGTTTTTTAACAACTGGTTCTCTGCCCTAATGACCGACTGGTAGGCATGGTTGGGGGGGGAGGGTGTCATGTGACTGATGGGAGTGAGTGACATCAAGTTGGCCACACCCACCCAGGTTTGTGGCTCCCGGTGTTTTCTTTTCTGTGGGAAATGGTTCCAAATGGCTGAGTATTTAAGTTTGCAGACCCCTGCCCTAGATAAAGAGTCTGTGTGAGACAGAGATTGTTTTCAATCACACTCTGAACCTGAGTCTTTTAATTATTAAGCATTAGATGCAGGGGTGGGTTCTAAATTTTTTTACTACCGGTTCTGTGGGCGTGGCTTATTTTGTGGGTGTGGCTTGGAGGTCATGTGACTAGGTGGGCGTGGCTAGCTGGTCAGAGATATTTCTGGAAGGTCCTCGCACTTATGACCAGTCCTCACACTTACGACCCGACTCATTTGTTTGCTTTTACCACTGATCAGCTGTAGGACGGCCCTTTGAAGCCCCGCGGCAAGAGTTTAAACAGTTTTTATCCCTCTAGTCATCAGCTGGGACTCAGGAGGCAGCAATAGATTGGGGGTGGGACCAAATAAAAGGTAAGAATAACGTGGGGGGGTGGGAGGGCGGGGGGGAGAACCGGTTCGGTGACGTCATATCGTCACCGCTACCGGCTCGGCCGAACCGGACCGAACTGGGAGGAACCCACCACTGATTAGATGGTTCATGCAATACAGCTGATCCTCAACCTATGACCAGTTGTTTAACAACAGTTCAAAATTAGGACAGCCTTGGAAGAAGCAATTTATGACCTCCCCTTGCACTTAACAAATGTCACATCACCCTACTGTCACATGATAACAATTGGGCGCTTGGCAATCTGTTCACATTCACAACCTGTTGCACCATCCTGCAATCATGTGATAAGAATTTGCAACCTTCCCACCCAGTTTTTGACAAAAGACATAAATTGTGGAAGTTGAATTTGCTTAATGACCACATGATTCACTTATCAACTGAGGTGATTTGCTTAACAGCAGTAAAAATAGTTGTAAAATTGGGTCTTGTTACATGATAGCTCACCTTACAAATACACCAACTTATGGTGGAAATTTCCATCCCAATTGTGGTCATTAGTTGAAGTTGAACATTGAATTATAAACTTACCCAATAGCTAACAAACTTGGCCAAAAAGCCCCATCCAAGGTTAACACCAAGCTTAATGTATTATGTGAATGTAACTGCTACATCTTTGATGGTTACATAGGTTTAACTGTACATAAACATAGCCAGAGTCAGCTTTAGAACTTCAGAAGTCTGTTCGAAGAGCAGAATTGAGCATCATTAGAACTAAATCATAGGCTGGGCTCACACAACACACTAAGGCAGACACACACAAAAAGCTTATGCCCAACATCTGCTATACGACAATATTTGCCACTTGTGGAGGTAATTCATTTTTCATCAAATAGATTTCCCACTATGAACTTTAGTGCATCTGCTTCTTCATAAATTCTAGCTCCTTCAGTTCAAAGTATTGTACCCATAGTAGGAGGCTTAAGGTGTTATTCACCTTCTCCGGCACTTCCTGTGGTTTTATTAGCCAGCTGTAGTTCGGAGACTACAGTTGGTCCAGAATGCAGCCGCGCGAGCTATCGTGGGTGCACCTAGATATACCCACATTACACCAATTCTCCGTGAGCTGCACTAGCTCCCTATTGGTCTCCGGGCGCAATTCAAGGTGTTGGTTATTACCTTTAAAGCCCTACATGGCTCAGGGCCAGGCTATCTTTGAGACCGCCTTCTACCACATAGCTCTCAGAGACCAGTAAGATCCCACAGAGTTGGTCTCCTCCGGGTCCCGTCAGCTAAACAATGTCGGCTGGCGGGCCCACAGGGGAGGGCCTTCTCTGTAGCTGCCCTAGCTCTCTGGAACCAGTTACCTCCTGAGGTCCGGACCACCCCCACCCTATTGGCCTTCCGAAAAGGGTGAAGACCTGGCTTTTCCGGCAGACCTGGGGCCGTTGATCTTGCTGTTGCGATCTTGTGAGATGGTGTGAATGGGTTTTAATGTTTTAATTTTTAAATCTTTTTATAATGGTTTTTTAAATGTATTGTAAGCTGCCCTGAGTCTTCGGAGAAAGGCGGCATATACATTGAAATCATCATCATCATCACTGTGAGTGGTTTTTAGCATCCATCTTCCCCTTTCTGTGCAGCCATAGAAGCCTACGATCAGCAGAGTCTTGTAGGATCAGGCCAAGGACCTATTTAATCTAGTCTGCTGTCTTGCATTCTGTGCCAGGGATGCATTTAGGAAGTGGGGAACTTAAGGCATGCTTAGAACATTGCTTCCTTGTTCAAAAGAAGACAAGAGCACCATTATGCACTTAAACTTCTTTCTCCATGCCAGGGGTGTCAAACTCGATTTCAT